CTGTTATTTCGAGGCTGTGCAAAATGTACGCCTAGTTGCCAATTGTCTATCCCAACTGATCAATGTTCTGGTCGGGAAAAATATCGTCATAAATGCCAACTTGCATGTAGTAGCTGCACAGACTTCCAAATATGTGTTCGAAAAGCTGAAACACATCACGGGCCTAGATCCTGCCAAGCCTCTGTTCGTAAGTGCTGCTAAGTTGCGACGCTTGGATCAGACAGATGCTGAGTTTGTCGATGTCATACATACAGATACCATGCAATATGGCGTGCTAAGGCAAGTGGGCCATGCTGATTTCTATCCCAACTTTGGCAAGCTCGAACAGCCCGGCTGTGAGGATGCAGATAATATAACGACGTGTAATCATAATCGTGCACCAGCGCTCTATGCTGAGTCCATAATGCCTGATCATAAGTTCTGGGCTCTTAGCAGCGAATATCCCAGAAAAGTTGTTTTAATGGGCTATGAAGCGCCACTAAACCATGGAACTTTTTTCTTGAACACAAACAGCGAATTTCCATTTGCCCTGAATCGAGAAGAATCCATTGCTGGTGCCGAGCTTGGATTCAATCAAATGAAAAAATCGTTCGCTGCCTACGTCGACAAGGCTCTGGAGACCGCCTGGATTTCGCAGTTCACGAAAAGCACGCAAGTTAAGGCGAGAACTCTAGGATCTGGCAATGGTAATATGTATAAATGGTATCATAATGGTAATAAAAAGCTAATATTATACACAGAAGAAATTAGTAATGAAAATACTTCAGGTAAGGTCATATCGTAGATTACCATAGTAAATTGTTTCCGCTTTATTGGAAAATAAAGGAAGCTAAATGTATTATGATTTGCAAGTGATTTTTATTTGTCTAGAGATTGCGCAGGAGTTGTACATCTTATAAAGAAATTTCCTTTGACATTGCAAAATATTGATTGATAAATAATATTCCAAAACTAAATTTCTCTCTTTCTGTGTCGTTCTCTGTTTGTCTTTGTCCGTTTCTGTCTCTGTCTATCTTCCTCTCTCTCTCTCACTCTCTCTGTGCATCCCTCCTTTTCTTTGTGTCTCCCTCTCTCATTATCTCTCCCTCTCTGGCTGTCTGTCAAACTTTCTCTCTCTCTTTCACCCTCTCTCCCACTCTTTGTCTGCCCTTTTCTCTCACTCTCCCTCTCCCTCTCTCTCACTCTCTATATCTTGCTCTCTTCTTCACTGTATTTCGCTCGCTTGTTCTCTATGTATGTATATTTTTCAATATATTTCTCGCTCACCTATTTGTCTATAACCGTTTCTATCATCTCCAATCTTCATAGATCTCCACACTCTAAGCTTTTCTAACAAAAAAGTGACAAAAATCCCTTTCTCTCTCTTCACCTCAGCCTTTTCTCTGCCTCAATTCACTCAACAATACCTTAATTTATCATATTACGACTTTCTTTGGCAATCAAATACGAACGTAAGCAAATTCCGTTCGTGTGGGCGGATCTAAAATCGACGAAAGCAGGAAATACAAGGTCTGCCCCGAAATGGATTTTACGTCCTTGCTCCACAAAAAAAAGAACGACTTGCGAATCGCAGTACGCCAAA